TTTTACCCGATGATCGCAGAAATTTGCCTATGCCATCTTAATTAAGCAAGCACGGCCGTATGCCGCGGGGTAAGTGCTATTTAGATTTTATGAAATATGTTGTCTTTGTTGACTAAGATATCAACAAACAAGTTTCCTCTAGATGACAGTGCAGTCTACCCTAAAGCAAGATGTTATAAATAACATTTTACTGACCTTGACTAATCTTTGGAGAAATTTTTGCTTGCCAATGCAATAAATGCTTCACTTTCCTAAACACATTTACGACTCTTTCAGATAGAGGAACAGGCAAAAACATATTCACCAGTCACGATATAATCGAAGAGTAATTCGACGTCGTCATGGCACCATTATCAAGGTCCTTGTGAATAAACCTTCGACTGAAAAATGTCAAATATGATTATGGAGTAAATTAGCATAACAACTTTGCATGAATACATATGATTGGGCATTCAGCCGTGGTGTTACTTCTCAATGTCAAGGATTTCAAGCCAAATATAATGGTATTTCTTTTCTTACTTCTTGAGAGCAAAAACTCGGCATGCCGCTCGTCTATGTTTTCCACTTTATTCCCATAACGGAAGCTTACAGCAGGTGTGTCTAGCGTAATCAACATAGGTTTGATACATGTAATATGACTCCGTAAATGGCTATAGAAAATCCAAAAAAAACTAGCCCATCGAAAAGCTTTAACTTTATATTATTTTTTGCTTTTGGAAAGAAATTTCCTCGCCGATTAAAGGGTCTGATTAAAATCCGAAGCCCCTCGGTAGGACCTGTGTCGTTTCACGCATGAAATCAGAACAACGAAGATTTCGAAACTATAATGTTCCCTTGCAGTCCTACAGATATGAATTGTAAGAATTTCTCTCTAACTTTCTAAATCTCTTTGAAAGACCCCTTCAAGTCGAGATATCGTTATCACAAGAATTTAACATTTTAATGTTTGCGGGTTTGGATCAGTCCCTGGGGAAAGCTGCCTTTATTTTGATTTGTGAGTTACCCACATTTGTCAAAGCAGAGTTGGTGTTGTTTAAGCTGCCAGAATGGTATTTGAAAGCAGATGCTTCGTGGTTATTGATTTACCCACAAGAGAAGAAAACTTATGATTCATAACCTCTAAAAACTATTCGAAAATAGTGAATATACCTCCAGTGCCATAAAAAAAGAATAATTCTGTAAAGTTTTTGTTTTTAGATATCTTTTTCATGGCGTTCAAAGGCCAGTCCTGGCTCCACGAGAGTCAAGAGTACCCATAATTGCCATTAACCAAACCATCCTATCTCCCACTGTCAACTGATACAAATTTGTTTTGGCACACCTAATGCACAAGATATGGAAGGGTGTGGTTTGAATGTTAGTCTTGAAAAAGACTTTTCCACCTTTCTCGAGAAACAAGCTAGGGGAAAAAAGACAAAAGAAGTATATTTATTTGGAGTGGATGAAAAAATGCTTTGCAGCTTTAGCCGAGCACAACTTGCTTGCTTAAAAGAATGAGTGGTGATTTCCCATCACGGTGAGAGACTCTTACTTCTTGTCGAATTTGACAAAAGTAACAAGCTGAACTAGTCTGACTCTGCTTTCTGAATGAAGTTCAACTTTTCCCAGTTTCACAATAACTGTTTGCACAGATTGGTGTCACTAAAGAAAGGAACATAAACACCGCTGTTTAAATGAATACAACACAAAGCAAAACCAAGCAAAGTTTATTGTCGAAGCAGTAACCATTATGCATAATAGCTACAACTTTAAGAGAGATGCCTAAAAAAAACCACTGTACTCCAATATCAACTCGTTAAGAATTGCAAAACAACAAAAAAAGTCATCGACGATAAGTTCATAAAAATCAGCCGTTCTTGCAATGAGAATGTTTTTAATAAACTCTGATAGTTGTCGCTTCTTTTACCTTGCAATAAATTTAGCAAGCACGAGTTCGATAGAACTCAGCTTAGTTAATGTCCAAGCAATAGCAAAACAGGTGAAGAGTGCGGCAGTCAAACCCTTCTTGGTTTTGCAATCAATGAAAATTGATTACGCAAAAACGTTTGAAGATATCAAAGACGTAAATGTTACAAAGCAGCTTCGAAGCTTTCGACACCAAATTCAGAACCATCCACCGAGCTGGCAACATAAAACAGTAATTGTATCTTTTAACCTCGTAAAATGTGAGCTGATACGAGCTGCATACACATCAAAAACAAAAAAGCTTCAATTTGCACTGCTGAGATTTAACTCGTCTTAGTTTTCGCAATTCGTTGAAAGTAGCCGGTAGAGAACAATTGTAATCTCGGTTATGGAAGAGTTCAGAGTTACTTAGCAGTGAGCAGTGCAACAAAACACCTGAAACTAAGCTTAGAGTCAACCTTCTAGCTGACAAAGAGAATGTTTCACATGAAACTGTTATGGCATATTCTGACCTTGCAGAAATCTGATTCAACCTGTTCCTCGATACAAAATGTCAAGCTAGACTGCTGAGAAAATCGAGGTTTTGTGTTTCCCTTTCATCTCGCAGACGCCCTTGACAGAGGGCAAAACAATCTTCCTCGCGACAGTTTGAGCGACAGGAGTCATGGCCCTCGAAGAAGAGGTAAACAGCCAAGCCGTGATGAGAGAAGAAAGCTCTGGGCTGAAATGAAACGAATCTTCTTTGAGCACTAGAGCATATCATAACAGATAGCCTGTCAGGCAATTTAAGTGTGAAAGCACGTTCTTCAGACATTCTATAATATTTAATATTGACCGGTAGAGTGCAATGATAAAAGCTGAATAGGTCGGGAAAAGGTTTTAAGCAGAGGTATTCGGATAAATTTGTTCTATAGTCAGATCGCTAATATCTCAGGGTGGTAGATGGACAAGTAACGATGAATCGCTCTCGGCTGCGAGTGTGATGTAACAAGATCAGATCGATGAAATGTTTGCAAGTTCTCAAAAACACAGCGATGGAAAAGGAAACCAATTTATGTCCAATAACAATTGGTACGACGTTTTTTCTTTACAAAAAGTATACTGAAAAAGAAGTTATCCATGAAGGTAAAACTATCTAACGCTCTACATGCATATAGTGACACGATCTGATTTTATTTGCACAAAGAACTAACTGTAAAGTGGAATGATACGACGATGAAACAAACGAACCGTAAACCCTCAAGAATTTACAAAACGGGAAAGTGTCCCAGATGAATTTTTTGGAGATAATAAGCACAGAGCACATAATATTTCAGCTTCACTGACCTCCATGCAAGATTCGCGTGGCCTCCAGTGTGATGGTCGTCTGCAACTATATATTTTCCAATTCCTGCGATACCAAACGCCACTGTTCAAGTTTTTTGGGCTCAGATGTACTGCGATGTCAAAATTCGTCCTCATTTTTTACACTATTTCGTATAACATTTGTATATTTTGGAGGTTTGTTGTACTTTTGTTGCAATGCTCTCTTTTGCCATGATCGAAGTTCGACTGAAGTCAGAATGTGGCGTGATTTATCTGAGCCAATCAGAATTCGTTGCTAAGAATAGCGACAATGAGCCTTTCTAAGACAATAGATTACCTCTAATCACATTTCCGTGATTGAAAAGTTAAGATGAAAAAGAACCCGCTTTTGAATTACTCTGAAGTAAACAAGCCCATTATTGTCATAAAAAATTTTTTTTTAACTAAGTGAAGAACTGGACAATCCAACAGAAACTCACTCGGCTGCAACTCGTGTCCCCGCTTTGTTTTGGTCAAACAGTTTCACGACTGCTGCGACCTGTTATTACAGGTTCCTACGTGCTCTCGCTGCGATGAGACTGCTATAGTTATAACTAGGCTGGCAATTTGATAAACTCGTTTATCATATTCACCCAGCCATACATGTATATCCAACTGGCAATGTGTACTACATTGCCTTGAAGAAAAATTTGCATCATATGCCCATGTGGAGATTTTTTCAACATCATTATTTTAATATTTCACTTTCATGATACTCTCTATCTATCTCTCTCTCTATCGCACAGGGATCAACGAACGCTTTTCATTCCACTAATTTATTCATGTTTTTCTCGTTGCCATGCTCCCACCAATAACGTAGCTCCATTTTCTGCCTTTAAAAGCACACACAACCCACAATTCCTCTATTCGCTCCGACGATGGGCTAACGCTCGAAACGTCAGCTTTTGTAATCATTACGGTGGCTAATTTACCATTTCAACTTTGTTGATATATCCAAATTATTTCGTTACTCCCACCGACGCAGCCCCAAACAGTTTCTTTCGAAACTATCAGCCTTTATAAATCTGAGTGGTAGCCGAGTTCTTTTCTAATAATTTAGTCAACGTAGAATGTAACAGTTTATTTAGTGTATAGATCAGTTACCTTCTGATTTGATTATCGCTTTTAATGGTCAATTTCATGGTTTGGATTTTCAATAACGCGTCTGTAACGTTTTTTCTTTATTAGTATCTTTATTAGATCAAAACTAGATCATTGGATAATGCAATTCAAGACTTTTTATTGGCTTAGCCATTATGGTATATCAGCCAATATACCATAATCTACAAATATGGT